GCCAGATTTTGAATATTATTATAAAAAGTTGTTTGACAGGTACTCGAACCACTCTCACGATCATATTAAATTTGAATAGGGTTATGGCATTTTCTATAATAGACCATTTTTAAAAATTTGGTAATTTTAACTCAATAAATTTTATCTTTGCCACTGGTGAATGGAGAGATAGGACTAAATCGACTGAGAATTCGTCACTGATCGTCGAACGGCCTCTAAGTCAGACCGTTATTTTTTATCGTTAAAAATGATAAAGCAAATTTATAATAACTTTGGAACACGTATTTGTACAGTTATAAGAAACAATTCTAAATAAAAAAATTAAAAACACACTAAAACAAACTGTTGCACTGTAGAAAAACTGCATTCTTTTAAATAGTACTTGCAAAATAAGGTTATTCACTTACGCAATTGCATCAAGGCTATTTGCAGTGTCAATGTGAGCAATTAGTTTTTAACTTTTTGATAGAGAGAAAAGAATTTAAATTTCAGATTACCAAAAAGAAAGATAAAAAGTTGGGTCAAACCAATGGTTTGTATTGTAGCACTTTTCCCTTCAACAAGTGAAAATACTGCTTTTAAACACAGTCTATGTATATCCGCCACAATATTAAAATTATTTTCATTCATAAACGAAACTTTTTCTAGGGTTGCATATATTTGGGATGAACGATTTATGCAGTTTTTGAAATAAAGCAGAAATTAATATAACGAGGGGTTAACATAATGCTCGATTTTAAGGGTTAATTGTGTTAATTAGGAAAAATAATTATATTTTTTCATGTCATGGAATTTACCGTTAGTTTCTTGTGTTTATAGAAATTTGAAAAAGCTTGCGGTTTCGGAAATATAAGGTGTCAAAAATTCAAATTTTACAAATTTCAAGAGACGATAACTTGAGAGGGGGTGGAGATGGAAAAAAATTTTCTTCTAACGAAATTAAGCATTTGTTAGTGTCTAAAAGCCCCTAAAATTTCAAGCTTCTACAGGCTGGGTTGAGATTTCTATTAAATTTCAGCTTTCTATCTTCAAGGGTATAGAAATTTTGTAAACAGACACACGGACAGACGGACGGATAGCCGGACGGACAGAGTGAAACTAATAAGCGCTCTTTTTCAAAAAATTTTTGGAAAAGTGCTAAAAACAAATAAAATGAATAAAAAATCACAAAGAGAAGCAAGAAAACTTCCTGTTTCGTTTTCTTCTTAGTGGACTTCGAAAAATACGAAAATGACTTTCACGTAGCAGGCATGACGGTATCATATGAAATGACATTCACTCGCGCATAAGAGTATTAATGTAATTTACCTATCTACATAACATGCAAATTACTTCACTGTATATTAACTGTATTTTAAAATATCCAAAGAGAAACAGAAAATTTACCTTCCTATAAATGGCTCTTTTATAAAATAAAGTATGATGTAGCGAAACATAATAAAGATATTTATGTTATTTTATTCGAGCCGTTTTTTAAAATATTTTTTATAATATTGGTTTATCATAATAAAACTTTCTACTAAAATGATTGTATTTTAAAATTATGTCTGATTAATAATCCTATAATATCGTACGCAATTACATTGTCTTAAGTATTATACGAACGTATAAATTAACATCAAGCTTGCATAAACGTTTCTTTGTTTGATTGTAACTTTTATTTTTCTCCATATAACAGCGACTCATAATTTAATTTCATATTAATAGTATGTTTCATAAAATTGACCGATTCAGGTACCTATTGCCTAATATAAATGCAATACAATTAAACAGACCAAATCAAAAATCTACCTAAATAAGAAAAGTGAAAGATTGAATTAGTTAATAAAAATTGAAAGCTACAGATATGAAATATAATAAAGTTGGGTCAAACCAATGTTTTATACTGTAGCACTTTTCCCTTCAAAAAGTGAAAATACTACTTTTAAATACAGTCTATGTATACCTAACATATTACTAAAATTATTTTCATTCATAAACGACACTATTTCTAGCATTGCATATATTTAGAATGAACGATTTATTCAGTCTTTGAAATAAACAAAAATTAATATAAAGAGGGGTTAACATAATGCTCGATTTTAAGAGTTAATTGTGTTAGTTAAGAAAAATAATTATATTTTTTAATGTCATGGAATTTACCGTTAGCTTTTCGCGTTTATAAAAGTTTGTAAAAACTTGCGGTTTCAGGAATATAAGGCATCAAAGATTCAGATTTTACAAATTTCAAGAGGCGATAACTTCAGAGGGGATGGAGATGGAAAAAAATTTTCCTCTAACAAAATAAACTTTTTATTAGTGTCTAAAAGCTGTTATAATTTCAGGCTCCTACAAGCTGGGGTCTAGAAGAAGAACGACGTCAAAAAAACGGATTTTGGAAATACGGATTTAGATAACTGTAAATTTGAACGGCCATTTCGTCTTTTTAAAGTTTAGCTATGTTATGCCACGATAGGAGAAGCAAGCCACTGCCTTTTTGTGTTTGCAAAATTTGAAAAATGCTTATGGTTGCAGTGCAATAAATAGATAAAAAATGGCATTTTTAGGGTTTTGGAGGGCATGACATCTAGAGGGGAGGAGGGTAAAAATTTTCTTCTACGGAAATAAGTTTCTAGTAAAGATCTATGCACATATTACATTTGAGTTTCCTATCTTGAAGGGTATAGAAGTTTTGTAAACATGTCCACGGACGGACGGACAGAGTGAATCTGTGAAGCAGTTTTTTTCAAAAATATTTTGGAAAAGTTCTAAAAAGGCCTTGAACTGGGCTACCATATGTCTTATATATTTATCATTAAAATATTTAAAAAAGAATAGTAATTATGATCGCTTTTTTACCTAAATATTTTAAATAAAAGAAAAAACTAAAAAAAAATTGGTTATTGTAAGTTAACATTCTCATGCATTAGGGATTAAAATAAAAGATTAAAGTAAATTAAACAAAAGTTTAAAAATTTAGAATAGGATTTCAGTTTTTTTCGAGGATTAAAAATAAAGGTAATTGTTATTATTTTTATTCTATAAATTTCTTATAATGAACAATAAATTTAAACTCATATGTTTTAAATTTTTATTTCTTCAAATTTAAGAAATTACTTATAATTTCTTATAACAGTTTTTAAGTAAAAATTTTTAATTTTTCTCTACGTTTAAAACTTTTTGGTTTACATAAGTAGAGGCATTTTGTGGTTCGAAACCTATTACTAATTTGCAAAACCCATTATATATTCTTTTCTGTAAAATTTATCATAAATACATATATCTATATAATTATAACCAAAAACCATTGAATTTTATATAAAGAAGGGAAGTGAACGAAATGAACGATTGAACGGGATTTTATAATCGGTCGATGAAAAAAGTAGTTCGTTCAGAACCAATCACTGAAATGAACGTTATTTTGTGCCTATGACTAATAGCCATGGTGCAAGAGCGCTAGGTATACCAAGGACAAATCAAAGGATTGTCAATTAGAGGTGTTCTGGTAGTATAAGAAAAAATACTAATAGTGTTTCACTTTCAAGGTACATGACAAATCTCACACCTATCAAGGCCTGCATTAAGATTGGGAGCAAGATAAGGGAGTTGGCGCTCGTATTGGCATACTTTTCGGGAGACAGGGAATTCGTCCGAACAGCGTAAGATGTCTCGTGCAAAACTGGAGCGTGTTGGACCATCATTCGATTTAGTGTAGTGAGGCTGATGGAGAACGAACCTTTCTTCAGAAATTCGGGAAGGACTGATGGAAAAACACACAGGGAGGACTTCAGCACAGCACTTATGCGGACGAATATCGTGGAAGTAGCATAATATCCCCTCGTGGAAAGAGCAGCGGAAGAGCTTATGGGGCATGGGGAAGGCGTTTGAATTGAACTGCCCTTTAGCAAACAGCATGGTGGATTGAAATTTTACAAATCTAAAGGACGAAGTAAGCAGGTTTTCAACAAGTCAAGTTAAGAGGGGGCCTGGAAATTCTTTAGGAAAAAATGGCGACCCATACGGACGAACAGGCGCAGAAGCTTAAAAGCCTTGTGCTGAGATACTATCCTGTTGAAAAATTTTCCCCCGGAGAGATTGACGGTGGTTTCGTCCTTATATGATTTGTAGGTGAGGCAGACATGTTATCACCGTCCAGTAACGTGATGTTGCAAATGTCCTTATTATGAATTTTCCGTAAACACTGGTAATCTAGTCCCTGGTGGTTTTGGTGTTGCATGTGACAGATAGCAAATGTAGGATGCAAGACAACTATTAGATATATCCGACAAATGTGTTTTTTTCTCCAATTTCCTGCCTTTTCAGCTGCTGGATAACATATTCTGAAAAATCGTCGTTATCAGTCTCCATTTGTCTCTACGTCAATTGAGAGGACCTCTGGTTTCGCAGACTCTTGAGCGAACAACTTATCGTTTTTATTAAAGCTATTTTAAAAACTATTTTTTGGAACTTCTATCTGTTTTGGAATGGAAGTTGTAAACAAAGAAACTTAAATATGTTAAAATTTCGCCAAATTTTTTTAAAATCCTTTTAGCTCGGGAACGGTTGCGATTTAACACTATGCTTGCAATAAAAATTTTGTTCATTTTTGACCCTTTATCCAATGGTACATGGCTCCTAACGTGTTAGTGAATTACCACATATATGCACAATAATATAAAAACATATTTTATTTAAGAAAAATATGAAAAAGTAATAAAACTTTTAAAGGAAACTGCTTTATACTTACTTTATTATGGAACATGTTAAAGTACAATTAAACAAACGAAAATGCTGAAAATTTCATTTATATGTACATATAAATAAGAAGCCTGTTAATTTTGAAGTTATCTTCCGATATACTGTGTACTTCTCTTCCGATATAATTATGTAAAATTAGGTCGCACAAAAGTTAGAGGTTTGTGTGTTTGAAATATATTAACATTTCACTTATGTTTATTTTATTTTATTTTGGAATAAAACTTAGAATTTTTTTATATTCTTTAACGTTTCAGGTACATATAATGGGATTGCATAAACAATACCTGAGATATGGTCAAACTGCGAGAAACCACCTTTTTGGAGTGAATAGTAGAAATTGTGGTAGTGACGGAAGTATTGGTGTAGGTAAAACTAATTGCAAAAAAAAAAAAAAAAGGAATAACAGACCAACTGTAAAACGTAATGTAAGAGGCGAAAGAGATGGAGTTAATATTAGGCCAACACCAATATCTATGCTTATTTCACAAGGGACGAAAATAAATAATAGTGAGTATTGGGGACTTAGTATAACTTTCTCATGCTAAATTTTACATTTATTCTAAAACCTTTTTCCATATTTTTTTCGTATGATAAGCAGTCTCTTTAATTTTTTGTGCTTTATTTATTATAACTGTCAATTGAGAACTGTGATTTTTTGCAGGTACTCTCGTAATTGCAGAAATTAGTACTTAAAGACTCAAACGTAAAGAATGCTAACTATTTTTAGGCATAAGAACACCCTTACTATAAGACTGTTGCATATATCTCGTCAAAGGCCTGTCAAACAGGCGCTCTGCGAGCCGCATGCAAACCTTAGTTACAGATCCCGCGGCCATAACGATGTTTGAAAATTATGAAATTTAATTTTTATATTTTTATTACAAATACTCATTTATAAGTAAGAATTTGTAGAAACCAGAGTAAAGGTTCTGCGAAGGTTTGTCAAATTTAAAAACCAAGCTTATTCATATGCGAAAAGTACACAACCGTATGTAAATGTAGCCGGAACTGAGTTTTTACGTTAGTTTGTTTCGAGAAGTGGAAAACGAATCATGTCTAAAAATGGAATATACTCGTATATTTGAATCAGCTTAATTGTCTTTTTGTAAACAGAACACTAGTTAACTAAATTCATTATTTTCTGAATATTCTAATCATAATAAAAATATATTAAAAGCTTTTTAGATTTTAATATATGTCAAAATTAATTTTTTTTCCTTTTTGTGTTGATATTGAAACAGTTGATGCAAATATGAAATTGAAATCGGAATGCTGCGCGATTCAATATAAAAACAATAAGCTAGGGAAGTGGAAATTACAAAATTTTACAATAATTTATCTATAAATCTGTTTCGCAATATTTTACTATAGGCTAAGCGAGTTTTAATCATGTTTGGAAGCACATTTTGTGTGTATTTTTATGTTGATAATAAAAATCAAAATTTGTGTATAATTTAGTAATTTGAGTTTTTGAGAATGTGCAGAAACTCTAAAATGACCCGTGATGATAAATGAGTTTGACATGCCTAGAAAAAAGAGAAAGAGGAATATAGTGTTCAAAGAAGAAGAGGAATATGGTGTTCAAATAAATTTTGGTATGGTGACATAAAATACTATATATCTCTACTAAAACTCTCAAAAAATTCTCATACCACACTCCATACTCTCATATTTTTTTTCTTTTTCCTGTTTTCATGCAACTATCCTAAGGTTCTTATAACAAAGACTTAGCACTTGTAGTGTTAAAAATTCTGCTACTCTCATAGCAGAACTATTTTCAGCAAGCCATAAAAAATTTTAATTCTCAAGTATTGTTTATAAGATATCAACTCTTATAGAATGTTGTTCTCAAAAGAATTCCTTTATAGGTCTAGTTTTTAGGCACGGCCATTTTAGTATTGTCGTTTTTCCTTATCTAAATTTTAACCCTAATGAGACTGAGAATTTTTTTCTTGGAAATAATTCCGAAAAATATTTATTGTACAGAAATTATTAAATTAAAGTTAATGGAATGCGAAACTATAGTTTTATTTGAATGTAACAAAGTTTTAGTTGGAATTTGTGCACATTAGTATATTCATTTTTTGTTTAACAATTCTTAAATTTTAAATTTTATGTAAGAAAAAGAAATAAGATATCATAGGGTTATAAAATATGTATAAACATTTTTTAAGTTTTGATTATTTTTAGTTGGCGTTGCTTTTTTTCGAAGTGCAATATCAACTTTTGTCAACAAAATTTTAATGCCAGGAACTTTTGATTCATAATCATGGCAAAAAAATTATTTTAATTTCACATACATATTTATAATTTTATGATATTAAGTTTTTGATTACAAATATTTATTGAATACATATGTACGTAAACATACGTATATTTTGTTTTATTCCGATATATAAGTAAGACCGATATATTTATTCTATAATGTATTGCTTTCTCTTTCTAGTAACACTATTATAAATGGCTTGTATGCTTTAAAAACTCTTTTAATGGGAGCTTAACTCTCATTACAAGAATTAATAACTCTAGTGATTGCGCTCTTTTGTTCTTATAAAGATCTCATTAGGGTCTTTTAGTGTTCTATAAGACTAACATTATTCTTAAAGGGACTTGACCATTAGTGCAATGGCTATGGCACTGGTCCTTTAACCGAAGGATCTTTGTTTCAAAGCCCGGTCAGGTCACTATAAAAACTACGTTCAATATTTATAACTTAATATACAATACTTATATATATTATACAAGTAATTTTCATATATTTATAATATTTGATATTAAAATACACTATTAACATATATACTAAGAAAAATATACAGTAAATATTAATAAACTTAAATACTTAATATAAAGAAAAAACTACGACAGGCTAGTCACCTACCTAGTTAAAAACTATATGACGCTATGAAACTAGTGCATGCACTAGCCCTATGGTCCTCCTAGGAATGAACAAAGGAAAAAAAAAATATATATTCTTAAGGAATTTTTAATATAGCTCTACAAAAGCCTTATGAGATAAAAATTGTAACTTGGGATACTAATTAATTTAGTATCATATTACAGTTTTACCCTATGAATTTTTGAAAAATCACTTATACCTTTCTGAAATAGTCGATCTGAGCCATTATTGCAAAATTGAATATACTGTTTTGAGTAGCTTAAGTTAAAACGAAAATGGAAATAACAATAATTTTATTTGTACTTTATTTGCTTTTTAAATAATTGTTATAAAAAGAAAGAAATAAACCTAACTATAATTAATTTATAAATATTAAACTTAAACTTCAAGCGCACTCCATATGACGTATGGACCGAGCTGTAGAGAACCTTGAGTTGAAGAAAATATGATAGAAATCTGAAATAGTTACACAGATTGATTAAAAATACACAGTCACAAAACGTTATTACATGCAGAAAGTGGTATCAAATTTTTTAAACAAAATTGCAACATCTCATAAATATGGCTTTACAGAATTCTGCGTAAATTTACAATAATGCTAATATTTTTTTTGCTGATGGTAAGCATCAAATAAATAGTTTTTCAAATCCTAAAAAGGATTTAAAATTGACGTGAAGTTTAGATTTGTAAAGCATTTTGAATTGGCAACCTTTAAAAACTTGGGTAAATTAGGGTTTTTTAACTTTTCATTTATTTTAGTTTATTTTAGTTTAGATGTGCTACTTAATTTTTCCAAATATCGAATAAGTTTTTTGTATATAATTTTCCCGCTTCATATAGCTGTATTAAATCATCAAACGAATATACATTTTTATTCGGCTAGAAGGCAGGACTAAAATTATTGGCATTTAAAGTTTTAAAATTTTAAAGAAGTTTAGTTTATTAAAAAATGTTATCACTTTAATAAAGAAAAGATAACTTTAATAAAGTAAACATTTAATAATTAGAAATTATTAAAAAATTTACTTTATTAAAGTTATCTCCGGTGGGTTGCGGAGTAGATATGCCTACAGAAACCATGATCGTGGTACAACTTCACTTAAATCTAAAAAAAAACCAGGCGCGTAAAGCAATTTGGAAAACCACTGTGAGAACCTGAAAGAAGAGATCTGCATTCTAAAAAGAGAAAATTTAAGATAATTGGGACAGCAGAATACTGCTTCAAATAGCACCGACAAATACAAAATAGGTGTGGCCGTGTACGAAACAGATGAGGTAGGGTTGGCTAGAGAAACTGATTAGATTATTAAAAACTAAAAGAAACTCAAAGAAGAGAAAAAATAAGGTTCACCAGAAATGCAACCAGCGGCAGAAATCTCAACCGAGAAAAAATGCTCAACTTGAAAACCATAAACCACCTCTGGTAAAAAAAATGGCCTAAACATTGGCTAATGAAGGAAGAACCCCAAAACCGATTAATGCTCTTACATCAAAAAATGTAAGAACAAGTAAAAACGTTTCAGCCGGTATAAACCGATTGAATTACACCCTGCACCTTTCGTTATTGTATAGCAATCACTCGAACCTGTGAAATCAGTCTATAGAAACTTCACAGATATGTCTGACCTATAATTGGACTGCAAATTTATAATCGGCTGCAAATTTCATGAATCTGACTTTATAATTTTTCCCAATATTTAAAATTAACTTTTAGAGTTCTATGGCACGTACCCGAACCTGTCAAGCAATTCCACTAAAACTTCACAAATATATCAGATCTATGATCAGACACACAACTGCCAAGTTTCATGAATCTGACTTTATTATTTTCCCAAATATTAAAAATAAGCTTTTAGATTTGTATGGGAGCTACTCGAACCTGTCAAGCAATCCCACCAAAACTTCAGAAATATATCTGATCTATAATCGGACACACAACTGCCAAGTTTCATGGATCTGACTTTATTATTTTTAAAAGTATTAAGAATAAGCTTTTAGACTTGTATGGGAGCTATTCGAACCTGTCAAGCAATTTCACCAAAACTTCGGTAATATATATCTGGCCTACTCGACACACAATTGCCAAGTTTCATGAATCTGACTTTATTATTTTTGCAAATATAAGCAGCAACCCGAACCGGTTCAGCTATCCCATTATAATTATTAGAACTTGTGTAGAATATAATTGGGCAAACGTATACAAAATTTTATATTTATAGCTTTATTGGTTTTTGAAATATTTAAAATAAACTCTTTGAGTTGTATGGCAGCTACCCGAACCCGTTGTCCGAATTAGTCCAGTGACAATAGGGTTCGTCCTCGGCACAAAAGAAAAAACTTGTGAAAGTTTGGTGTCGATTGCATTATTCGTTTTTGAGTTATCGTGCGATCGGACGGACGGACGGACGGACGGACATGTCTAAATCAACGCAGAATTTTACGCTGAGCAAGAATATATATATATATGTCCATACCGCAGATGATTCCTTCAAGTACTTACAAACTCCATACCAAAGTTAATATACCCTTCACGAAGTGCAGTGTATAAAAATGGTTTTACACAATTAGGAGTAGTTTCAAAAATTGTAAAAGATTATATAGATAAAAAACCTAAGAAGGCAAAAAACTAAAGGAAAGAGAGCATAATGCAAACGTTCTACGTCATGTCCTGCATCTGCTATTGACAGTAGCAGATGCAAGACATGCTGCGAAGAATTGTTGCAATCTTATGGAGATTAACTATCATGGAGAATAGATACACTAAAGTATATCTAGCAACCCTTGAGAAAAATGTCAGTAAAAACTGAATGGAGGTTTTTCTTAGAGCTATAAATATGGATATAAGTTTGTTGTTAGAAACAGACTTAGGGAAGGATTAGAGTGCGCTGGGTTATAGATGCTATAGGGCAACTCATCCTGGTAACCATTCAAGAGAAGGTAGTTCTATTTTAATTGTCCATCAACATGTAACGCAAAAGAGGATATTTTTAAGGATCTCTTATGCGCGGTGGGTAATAGATTCTTACTGGGAGGTGACATTAATGCCAAACATGTGAATTGGAGTTTTATCATTCTACAGTCTTGTTATTTTACTCATGCTAAGCCCCGGCTCTTATTGACTTCTTTATATTTAAAAGAATTTCAGTAAATTTTTTTAGTTTGGAAGATGATGTCAATGATTTCCGATCACTCTGGTGATCACTCTTTCCGATCATAATAACGGTCAGTGAGAAAATAGCTAACCAACGGGATCAGGCCACTTTAGTCAACAAATCAGAAATTGGGTAGGCTTCAAACATGAGGTTATTAAAAATATAAATCCAAATGGTGAACTGTAGACTAGAGATCATTTAGATTTTGAAGTGGAGGGTTTTATTAAATTGCTTGGAAATTCGATTGGAAAAATACAAGATTATCTGAAATTACACATGTATTCAGTAATTCTCCTATGGCTTTAACTGATACAAATAAAAAGGACTATACACAAATGGCAAAGGTTGCGTCACCCAGAAGATAAAACTTTTGTGAATAGACTTTTTCAAACACTCTAAACTAAAGAATATAGAAATTTTAAATCAATATCATATGAGAATTATGTTAAAAGCTTATCGACTACAAAAAAAGCGAATTATTCGCTGTGGAAAGCAACGAAGAGTACCAAGAAGACGATAAAGCGAATCCCCTCACTGAAAAAGGCAGATGGATCACAGACAGCAAACAATAGGAATAAAGTTCAACTATTTGCTGATCATTTGGGAGGAATTTTTGAACCAAATGAACGGAGCTATAGTGTTTGTTTTGTAATGGATGAGAGCACTATTGCTCACACAGAAGAAAATATGCCATGTAATAAAGTCGCTTAAGTCGATATTTTTGAAGAGTGATAAATGTGGCAATGAACCCGAGGTATGATGCCAGTGCCTGGAAAGTAGCGAAGTTATTGTAATATAAAAACCGGGAAAAATTGAATAAGGCAAAGTTAGATAGACTGATTTCTCAGCTTCAAATAATATCAAAACCATTTGAAAAGTTGTTGTTAACTTGGATAATGCAAAATAAGAAATTGGTTTGGTTTTAGAACAAGGCACGCAACAATTGATTAAGTACACAGAATAACAAATTTTGTGGAAAAGTCGTTAAAAGAAAGTCAAATAAGTTCGACAATATATCTAGACGTATCCCAGCACGGTTTGGCATGACGGTGTAAATTTTTGAACTTAAGAAACTGATACCAATGCATTTCTTAGAGATACTTGAATCATATGTATCTCATAACACCGGAAGAGGAGTACTCCATGCTTGGGGAAATTAGCAGAATATTTAGGTATGATTTTGGATGTTAGATGGAAAAAACATTAAAGGAAGAAAAAAAGAATAGAATTAGAAAAAAAATATAGAGAAAACTATTGACTACTAGGTCGTAGGCCTAGATTGGCAACAAACAATAAGGTGTTAACATATGACTAAATAATAATGCCTATAATAGTGCGTATGGCTTGCATGGAATTTTGCCAAACAACCACACATCAAACAAATACAAACTTTTCAGAACAAGATCGTTCGTAATTATGCTCTTGCGCAATAGTGACTTTCATAAGGATATGAGTGTTCACCAAGTAAGTCAGGAAGTAAGGAATATTCAATTTAGCCTAAAATATTGTCACCCACTATAGGTAGGTCTGACGACAGCTTGGGTTCGCCTATCTTTGCCTTTCATAATTTTTTAGGCTTTACTAAAGTTTATCTTTATATTTTATTAAATTTTCGTGCTGTGCTATTAATTATAGTTTGTATTATTTTTGTTTGTTTTAATTAGAGATACATAGAGATTTTGAATACAACTAATTTATTCGGAAATGTTGTTCTGGTTAAAAATTGAGTTTTATTTAATTAATTACGTAAAACATTGCTGCAAGGAGGTGTTCTGATCACACATCTTTCATTTATCATATTTATTGGCTGCACCAATGATTAAATTAAATAAAACTGAGTAAACAGAAATGAGTGAATCAATATTTTTATTAACGTGTTATTAATAATTTGCCCAATAATAGAAAAGTTTAATAGCCTAGACACAATATTTTTAAAAATTAATTTCTAGATTTTCCTTAAAAATAGTAATATTATATATATAATATGTTATAATTTTGTGACTCAATAAAGAAAGAGCAACTGGTTAGTAAGAATTTTATTAAATTAAAAGTTTTTTTTCATAAATTTTAGAGATTGTGCCAAGGAAAAATACAACTTTTTTTAAACCCTCCGGTTTGGCTTTTATAATGAAAAAACGTTTTTATACTCTGCACATCGTGAAGGGTATATTCACTTTGGTATGGAGTTTGTTACATATATGTTCGTTATGGTATATATATATATGTATGCTCGTTAATATATATATATATGTATATTCTTGCTCAGCGTAAAATTCTGCGTCGATTTAGACATGTTCGCCGGTCCGTCCATCCGTCCGATCGCACGATAACTCAAACACGAATAACGCAATCAGCACTAAACTTTCACAAATTTTTTTTTTTTATTTTTTAACTCAAAGAGATTTTTTTAAATATTTCAAAAAGTAATAGAGATATTAATATCAAATTTTGCAAGCATGTGCCCAATTATACTTCACATATGTTCTAAATATTTTAATAGAATCGCTGCACTGGTTCGGGTAGCTGTCATACAACTCCGAAAGTTAATTTTAAATATTTGGAAAAATATTAAGGCTATATTAATGAACCTCGGCAGTGGTGTGTCCAATTTCAGATCAGATACATTTCTGAAGTTCTGATAGAATTGCTTGACAGGTTCGTGTAACTGCCATAGAACTCCGAAAGTTAATATTAAATATTTCAAAAAATATTAAAGCTAGATTAACGAAACTTGACTGTCGTGTGTCCAATTACAGGTCGGACATAATATCGCTGAAGTTTCTATTAAGCGGTTTGACAGGTTCAAGTAATTGCCATTTAGCAACCAGTGCTATTTCTAAATATTTCAAAGACAAAGTTTTAAACTCAGATTATCATTTTGACGATATATATTGTGATGAAAATCAATAGCTTTGCGATTAATTGCATGGGGGTATTACTATTTTTGATTACATAATTATAACAACTGTCATCATTACACACAGTAATGGTTATCATATACAACTATGAAATATCTGAACGATGTATAACAAATAAAATGTATCGACGTATATGTATTTCAAACACCAATACGTTTTTTTTTAAACAAGAACAAGTTGAAAAATCATTAGTGAATGAGGTACCCAAATGAAATGCATGCTTACAATAAACATAGCATCTGAAACGTTAAATCAGATTACCAGAGAAATTATTTTCAACAACAACAACTTTTCGGTATAACAGTAATAATTGCACAAATTTTTATGTTTATTATTGGGGAATTTGTTCTATTTTTAGTATGTTTAAAAAATTTTTTCCTTTATTTGTTAAGTTGTAAGATAAAAAATGGTGAACTAAATTTTTTAATTTCAGCTAGACTTGCTGTGATAGTAATAGGGACAATTACGTTAATATTAGGAATAATTTTATCCTCAATACCCTGGCTGGATTATTTTATATTAAAAGTAAGCTTTGAGCTATAAAATATTAGTGTAATTAAGTAATACTTGATTTTTCTGTATAATTATTTGTAGAATTTAAGACTTTGGAACAATACACTAAGTTTTCGATACTGGCAAAGACCGGGTGTAATTCGATTAACAAGAGTATACCTTTTTAACGTTACTAATCCGGATGGATTTTTGTTCGGCGAAAAACCAAAAGTTGAGGAGGTTGGACCTTTTGTGTACAGGTGAGTTCAAACATACGTCTCTATAATTGTCAATTAATATAATTTAAAGCTTTTGAAAAAAAAAATTATTCAATTTTGTGCGTACAACTTTTCCAATTTTGCAATACAATATTTCCAACTTTGGAATTCTTTTGTGGGGAAGCATAACAATTTCTCTAAATAGTAGGATTACCCATGGGAACCTCAAATACGACATTGCTGAACCAGCGAAAATTAAAGCGGGGAAGTAAATTCATTTCAATTCTTTTTTCGGTTGCCTTCAATATTTGTCATAATCAAAGAAATTAATCTTTTGGGTTAAAATTAGCGTAAAATTAAAATTTGTTTGAAAGAAACAGTTTCGAATATTTATTGAGTTTTTTTATCTGTAGTTCCAGCTCTTTGATTGAATGACCTCGGGCTCAATACTTAATTCTCAAAAAAAAATTATATAGAGAACATGATTATGACATAAAAACCAAACCAATGATTTCTTTGGTCAATTTACTGTTAGCTTTTTGCGTTCATAAAAATTTGAAAAAGCTTGGGGTTTCGGAAATATAAGGTGTCAAAAATTCAAATTTTACAAATTTCAAGACGCGATAACTTGAGGGGGGTGGAGATGGAAAAAAACGGTCCATCTGGATGGAAAAGGAAGCAAGCCACTGCCTTTCTGCGCTTGCAAAATTCGAAAAATGCTTATAGTTTCACTGCAATAAATAGCTAAAAAATAGCATTTTCAGGGTTTTGGGGGGTATAACTTCTAGGGGGCGGCAGATAGGTAAAAATTTTCTTTCACGGAAATAAGTTTCTAGTAAAGACTATGTACATATTAAATTTAAACTTTCTATCTTCAAAGGCGTAGAAGTTTCGTAAACATGACCACGGACGGACGGACGGACAGAGTGAAACTAATAAGCACTTTTTTAATAATTTTTTGAGGTCCAAAAAAACAAATGCCACATAAGACCAGCATTCGTGTTTTTTCAAGAAATAGGTTACTCGTGTTTTTATAATGATTTCAAAAATTCTGGAAAACACAATAGAAACTGAGATAAGTCTGTAATTGGAGCACAAATTTTTGCAACCCCGCTAAAAAATTGATGTCACTATAGCCTTTTTTAGTGACTCAGGAAAAGTCTCAAATGAAATATTGATTAATTTTACCAAAATTCGACCCAACGTCAAACAAAATCTCCTTAAAACTTCGCTGACCCTCCATCAAACCAATTCGCTGCTGCCGAATTGAAAGAAAGAATAATATTATTAACTTTGCTCAAATTAGTTTGATTTAAGTGAAAAGTATAATAAATATTAGGCGCAAAATTATGCAGGAAGTTATGGTCCATGGGTTCAAAAAGAGTATCAATTTTTTTCTGTCACATTTATGAAAACTTCATGAAAAGTATCTGCTATTTCTCCTTGATCAGAAATCATATGGACATTGTCAGCAGACAATTCGTTGTTAATAAAGTAACCATTGTTCAACAAAGTATCCACATAATAATCGACTTCGACACAACAGGGCTTCAATAAATCTTTACTGAAATCGCCAAAAATAATAACGCCGAAGTTTCTGAGTAATTTCATCAAGTTTATTTGTAAAATCTAGAATTCTTGATTTGTTTTGCTTCATAGAACAATTTTGCTTGTAGGGTGGTAAAGTCATGGCGAAAAAACACTTCTCGATTGTTGCTACCATCCAGATTCAGTTCCTCTGTGAAAATTTTTTATTTTTATACCCTGCACTTCGTGAAGGGTATATTAACTTTGGTATGGAGTTTGTAACTACTTGAAGGAGTCATCTGCGGTATGGACATATATATATATTCTTGCTCAGCGTAAAATTCTGCGTTGATTTAGACATGTCCGTCCGTCCGTCCGTCCGTCCGATCGCACGATAACTCAAAAACGAATAATGCAATCGACACCAAACTTTCACAAGTTGCTTCTTTTGTGCCAAGGACGAACCCTATTGTTATTGGACCAATTCGGACAACGGGTTCGGGTAGCTGCCGTACAACTCAAAGAGTTTATTTTAATCATTTCAAAAACTAATAAAGGTACAAATATAAAATTTTGTACACATGTGTCCAATTATATTCTACACATGCTCTAAAAATTTTAATGAGATAGCTGCACCGGTTCGGGTGGCTGCCATACAACTCCAAAAGCAAATTTTTTATATTCGGCAAAATAATAAAGTCAGATTCATGAAACTTGGCAGTCGTGTGTCCAATTATAGGACAAAGATATTTCTGAAGTTTTAGTGGAATTGCTTGACAGGTTCGGGTACCTGCCATACAACTCCCAAAGCTAATTTTAAATATTTGGAAAAATAATAAAGTCAAATTCATGAAACTTGGTAGTTGTTAGTCCAATTATATATCAGATATATTTGCGAAGTTTTAGTGGAATTGCTTGGCAGGTTCGGGTAGCTGCCATACAACTCCAAAAGCTAATTTTAAATATTTGGAAAAATAATAAAGACAGATTCATTAAACTTGGCAGTTGTGTGTCCAGTTATAGGTCAAAGATATTTCTGAAGTTTTTGTGGAATTGCTTGACAGGTTCGAGTGGCTCCCATACAAGTCCAAAAGCTTATTTTAAGTATTTGGAAAAGTAATAAAGTTAGATCCATGAAACTTGGCAGTTGTGTGTCCAATTATAGATCAGATATATTAGCGAAGTTTTAGTGGAATTGCTTGGCAGGTTCAGGTACCTGCCATACAACTCCAAAAGCTAATTTTAAATATTTGGAAAAATAATAAAGTCAAATTCACGAAACTTGGTAGTTGTGTGTTCAGTTATAGATCAGACATATCCGCGAAGTTTCTATAGAATGGTTTCACAGGTTTGAGTAATTGCTATACAACAATGAAACGTGCAGGGTATAATTCAATCGGTTCATACCGACTAAAACGTTTTTACTTGTTTTATTATTTATTTACACCAAAAAAGGTGCTTACAAGATTTATATTAATTTACAAAAAATTCTATTATATACAAAATACAAAAAAAATTTGCCTATACTTAATACAGGAAACAAGAAAAAGAAAGCATTACTAATATTTAACCTACAAACAATAAATACATAACTGCTGGTGCAGCAAAATTAGAAATTTTAAGTATAACGGAACAAAAGTGAATCGAAAGAAAAAACATAAATTAAAATTATAAAATAAATTAAAATATGTTTACGTTTGCGCTTTTTACTTAGTAAATCATCTTTAACTTTTTAGCACTTTTCCAAAAATTTTTTGAAAAAAAGTGCTTATTAGTTTCACTCTGTCCGTCTGTGTGTCTGTTTACAAAACTTTTACATCCTTGAAAATATTTTCGTAGAACGAAATTTTTATCTATCTCCCCCTCTAGAAGTAATACCCCCCTAAACCCTAAAAATGGCATTTTTTAACTAATTGTTGCAATGAAACCATAAGCATTTTTCAAATTTTGCAAACGCAGAAAGGCAGTAGCTTGCTTCCCCTAGCGTGGTATACTATAGGTTAACTTTAGAAAAACAAAATGGCCTTTTAAATTTACCGTTATCTAAAGTCCGTTTTTTCCAAATTTTTGATGTCGTTTATTTTCTAGACCCCAGCCTCTAGAAGTCTGAAGGGCTTTTAGACACTAATGAATGCATTTTTTCGTTAGAAGAAAATTTTTTTCCATCTTTACCCCCTCTCAAGTTATCTCCTCTTGAAATTTGTAAAATTTGAGTTTTTGACGCATTATATTTTCGAAACCGGAAGCTTTTTCAAATTTCTATAAACGCAAAAAGCTAACGGTAAGTTCTATGACATTAAAAAGTATAATTATTTTTCTTAACTCACGCAATTAACCCTTACAATGGAGCATTATATTAAACCCACATTTTATTAATTTTTGATTTATTTCAAAGACTGCATAAATCGTTCATCCTACATATATGCAATCCTAGAAATAGTTCCGTATATGAATGAAAATAATTTTAATGGTGTGGTAGGTACTGGTGGACTGTATTTTAAAGCAGTATTTTAACTTGTTCAAGGGAAAAGTGCTACAATACAAACCATTAGTTTGACCCAACTTTATTTATAACTAAGTTTAAGCAGATATAGTGCATTTTGTTGTCATGAAAACCATTTTCCATTGAAGTAACACTCAAAATTTCTTCCTCTTTAAAACTTGCAGTAAGTTTTTTGCTTATATTTAATCCACATGATTCTTCAGATTATAAGGCAAGCCAGCTATCACCACATTGTTTCGATTATTTAATTGCTGCGATTTATCCAATGCTGATTCCAAGAGATTTAATCTATTTTCTAATTTTCCATCAATCTATTATTTTTTTTTCTAACTTATTTTTTTCTTATTTCTTGATGTTGTTCATGAAAACATTAATTTCTGCAGAAAAAAGAATTTTTGATAATCATGAGCTTGAAGTACTTTATCGCCCAAAGTTAACAGATATACAGCCAAGCTTTATAGAGTACAATTTTTCAGATTAATATCAGGTAAATCCACAAAGTCAGGAACATTTTCATTATGGATTGAAACCTTTTCACCAATATATATTACATTAGCTTGAGAGGAATATTGCTTACATGACTTACTACGAAACTGCATTATCGACGACATCTTGATTATATGTTGTTACATATTAATATATTCACTAACACCAGCGCAGTTAAGGTGATGAGGTGCTGTGATAAGTTTATTATGTTTCAACCCAATATTTTTTGAAGAATTTTTTTTTTTTAAATTTTGAAATGGCACTCACAGCGATTTTAAAACGTCAACTACAAATTGTTCAACTACAAATTGTTTTGTCACATTTTAAAACATCACATTTAAAACAAATGTGACTTTAAAAATGTGACAAAACAATTTGTAGTTGAACCTTTAAAAATTCTGAATAAAAACTAAAAAATTTAAGTTTAACCTTTATTTGCAATCTGAAGTTTTGATGCAAAGAAAAAAATTTTTTTATTGTCTTTGTTAACTTAACTAACTTAACTAATAAATATTTTATTCTATTT